GGAGCCTTGTGCACGTGTTGCCGCAACCTGGAGCCTCACACAAACACACAGGGACACGTGATGGACGCAGATCAGCCCAAGCAGACAGAGACAGGGGTCCTGCCCTCAGGGAGGGAAGATGATCATCACCAAGCATGGTAAACATATGGGAAAGCAGATACGTGCAATGAAACGATTCTGCTGCTGTGACAAACATATCCAGAGTCACGAGCGAGAGAAGGGTGGAATCTTGGAGTCACGGGACAGGGGAGCAGGAGTACTGTGTCCTGGTGTCTGAGAGCTTTGATTCCGGGGATGTAGAGGAATTCAAACCCTTCTGAGCTCTGCTGAGAATCGCGGGGGATGCCATGAACTGTGAGTGGTGCTTCAAATGGAAATGTCACTTGGTCGTGTCAGGTCTTCCCAGGCCTTAGTGTCCTTCTCAGTACAAGTGGGAAGATAGGCCTTTGGATGAAAGGTGTAAGGAAAGAAGCAGACAGTAAATAAAAGGTAATATGTTGGAAAACACAGAGCTGTTGTGTCAAGAATGTGCAGATTAAGACCTGCCACCCACGCAGGGTCAGCAGGTAGCGCCCTCAGCATCTGAGCTCCCACTTTGCAGAAGTGAAAGTCCCCAGGCCATTTTGACTGAAGGTGAGGCTTCAATACATTCACACAAAGACAGTACAGTCACAAGGTTAATCAATGACGCATCCCAGCATGGGGCACAGCGAGTAGACAGAAGTGTAGTCCTCTGAGCCGGGGAGAAAGCACCTCTCACTTAGGAGGTGGCTGGGGAGGTAGTCACCAATATTTTTGCAAGCTCAGCAGCAAGCGTACTTGGCTGAACCAATTAGGATCGATGGCTATTTTTGTCATCTTGCTATTCCCTCCTGAAATGCAAATACAAACTAGGGGTCCCCACAAAATCCCTTTTATTCTGGCAGAGCCTAATTCTGACCCCAGTCTGCAGCACACAGCAACTAGAACCCCATGAGTCAATGTCTTTCACGATCAAAAAGAAGTTGATGATCACAATCACCAGCAGTGTCAGGTGGAGACTCCTGGGTTGGGCGACTTAGAGGGTGGAACAATCAACCCACCAGTTAAAAGGCAATCAAACATAGTCACTGAGAAGGGAACTCTCCACAAGCTGACTGCAGAAGCCAGCTGGAGTCCCCCTGCCCAAAGCTGGGTCATATCCCACCCAAAACAATCAGTGGGGAGGAAATGAGGGACCCCAAAGGTCAAGAGGCTGCTGAGTCCTCCAGATGAAGCGAGCTTCTGCCTCCTCTGAGCACTTTAAGGATGATTCACACACAGAGGTGCCTGCCACGTGGTAGAGGAGGGAAGGCTTTGGTGACAGATAGCAGCAGCAACTTCTTTTTCACAAGGACTCCAGGCAGGTCCAAACCTGCAAGGTGTATCATGGAAACTTCCAATATTCCTGGCCCTTCAGAGAACCCCCCTAGAAAGCCTGGATGTATGAGGTTCAATCTCTGGTTGATCTCTTCCTCATGAAGACTCCTCCCTAGGGCTTTGCTCTGTAATTATGTAGCACAAGGACGGAGTACGTTGCCTGCACTCCTAAGATCTGTCTCCAATTTAAGTTTACTAGTGCTGTTTGAGTTTAGGCTAACAGCTGAATAACTTCCAACATTCACTGCACTCAATACTCTTCTGGGGTGTGTAGCTGTTTTGTGAGATTTAACTGTTCCTGATGGTGAAACACGACACACTCACACTTGGGTGGATAAAAGACAGAGTTCTGTGTTACTGAGGGCTTAGAACAAGAGAAGGGCATCAGGCAGGGCCACACAGCAGGCTGTATGGAGGACACAGTGAACAACCTGAAGCTCTAGAGAGCCCCTACATACGGCAAGTGGCCTGGGGCTGGCCCAGCTGGAACAACTTCACGGGGCCAGGGCACAGCAGCTGTCCCGAGCTGCCTGGTATCCTGGCTCTGGGACCTAGGGTTGGTGTAAAGCAGCCCAGAGTGGGAATGCTGGGTAACGACAATGACTGGATGTGGACCTAAATCAGCTGCTCCAAATGAGGAAATGACCAGTATAAACAGGGACTCAAAACTGGATCAAGACAATATTTTCACAAAACTATGTATCAAAACACTGTGCTACTGTCATAAAGACAAATATTAAGAACAATGAAACAGGACATAGTGCCCAGAAATGGAAGCCTGTGTATTTTGTATATATGACCAAAATGGACAAGAATGTCTAGACAATTCAATGGGAAAAGGACGGTCTTTGCAATAAATTGTAGGAAAGTAGATGTCTGCATTCAGATGAATGAAGTTGAACACTTACCTCACACCATATCCAGAAATGAGCTCAAAATGGATCAAAGACCTAACAGTAAGATGCAAACTCATAAAACTCTTAGATGAAAACATAGGGGAAAAGCTTCATGACACTGGATTTGGAAATAACTTCTTGGCATTGACAAGAAAAGCACAGTGAGAAGCAAAAAGAGAGAAAGTTCCAAACTTCTGGGAAAAGCACACAATCAACAGTGACAAGGCAACCTACTGAATGGAAGAAAAACATCTGCAACTCATACACTTGATAAGTGGTTAGCATCTAGATTGTATAAAGAACTGCCACAACTCATCAATGAGAAAACAACCTGAAACACAGACACTCTTACAAAGAATACACACAAATGGCCAAGAAGTCCATGATCGCTCGCCGTTTGGGAAATGCTGAACAAAACCACAATGAGCTACACTCATTAGGATGCTACTTCTAAACACGAAACAGAAGATAAAATTATGTTGTTGAGGATGTGGAAACACTGGAACCCTGTGGACCTTTGATGGGAAGACATAACAGTACAGCTGATAAAGAAAACAGTTCAAAATATTAAAAACAGAATGACCTATGATCCAGCAATTCCCCTTCTGGCTAAACACCCCAGAAAACTGAAAGCAGGATCTCAAGGAGAGAGAGGTGCAGCCATTCCCACTGCAGCACTCTTCACAACAGCCAACATCGGAACAAGGGAGGTGTCAGGCAGCAGATGAACGGGTAAAGACATGGTATATACACACGGCGGAGTGCTATTCAGTCTTCAAAAGCAAGGGAATTCTGAAACATGACACATGATAGATGAAACTCGAGATTATGTTCAGTGAAGAAAGCTATTCACAAAAAGGCAAAAACTGATTCTTCTTACATGAAGTAGTGAGGGCAGTCACATTCAAGAGGACAGAGAACAGAACAGGTTGCCGAGAGCTAGGGGAGGAGGAGGAGGAGGAGTCATTACTCAAGGGGACAGTTTCACTTTTGCAAGATGACAGGAGCTCTGCAGAGTCACTGAATGTACCTGACAGTACTGAACTGCGCACTAAAGTACTTTAGAGAGCAAGTTTTACGTGTGTGTATTTTAACACAATAAGAAGGGGAAAAAAAAACCCAAAGTACATAACAGGTACTTCACAGAGCCAATCAGAGCAGACGTTTGGCTGAAGTCTTTTCCCTATTTGTTGCACTCTTAAGATCTCTCTCTGCTGTGAACTTTTTGGAGCCAACTGAATGGCAGATTGGGCTAAAGACGCTCCAACATTCACTGCACTCAGAATGCATTTCTCCAGTATAAGTTCAACAATGTTTAACGAGGCCAGAGTTGCAAGTAAAGATGTTCCCATATTCACTGTTCTCCTAAGGCCTCACATCAACGTGGACTCGCTG